AGTGTTGAAATCGAAGAATCTTTTTCCGTAAAATTGAAGAGTGGATATACAATACATGCCGGGCCACCTCCGGGTTCTGGCATAATATTAGCATTCATTCTCCGTATATTGGACGGAATTTTACCTGCACCCAATACTGGCTTAGACGCACATCGTTTGGTGGAAGCATTTAAATTTGGATACGGCGAAAGAACCCATTTAGGAGATCATAAATTTGTAAACGTGTCTCAAGTGTGTTTTATCTAGCAGTCCCATCGAATAAAGTGCAATATTATGATATAATACATTTGAATAAATTTAATTTTTCAGATTTACAATAAAGTAAAGTCGGATACTTACATGGACAGCATACAAAAAAAAATATCCGATAATTTCACTTCGCCAGACCCTAAATACTATGGTGCAGATTTTGTTATGCCAGACAATCATGGAACCGCCAACTTAGCCACAATTGATTCGATGGGAAACGTTGTCGTATGTACCAACACAATCAACACACAGTGAGTATAGATTTTCTGAATTTCCCGAAATTGATTACGTATAAAAATTAAATAATGTATTAACATGTCGTATTTTGTATATTTTATTTTAGTTTCGGCAGTGGTTTCATGTCCCCTAACACAGGTATTATTTTTAATAACCAAATGAACGATTTTTCCACCCCGGGAGTCTCCAACCATTACGGAATTCCATCGTCACCGTCCAATTTCATAAAACCAGGAAAACGACCAATGTCTTCTATGTGTCCAACTATATTTACCGACAAAAATGGTGATTTTGTTCTCGCAGCAGGAGCAGCAGGGGGTTCGAAAATCACTCTTGCTACTTCYTATGTAAGATTTTTTTGATTTATTAATTTGGTTTTAAAAAGTTTTCAATATTTATAATGTATGCGTGCAATCTTATACAACACGATTCTTTTAAGAAAAATAGGGTTTACTGTTAAAAYAATTGTTCATTATACTTTAATAAGACATAAAATATTAGCTCAGGCAGTTTTAGGAAAATGTATTGATTTTGATAGTAATTATTTCTAATTTGATATGTTGTTATTAAAAAATCGATATTAGTTCAATATGACCACCGTAACAACAACAACAAMAAAAAAATGTTTTTTTTACAGGCCTCCGCTCTAAAACTATGGTACAATAAAACATTGAAAGAAGTAATAGACAAACCTAGAATTTATCACCAACTTATGCCTATGCAAGTTCAATACGAATACGGAACGACTAAGGTAGAATATAATTATGATAGATATTATATTCTTCGTCTTAAATTATATAAAATTATTATTAAAGTCATATTTTTATATTTTCAGGATGTAGTGCAAAAACTTAAAGATATCGGTCACACAGTAGTTAGATTGAAAGATAATGGTGGTTCAGGTGGTTCAGCAGCATCAGCTATTGCCAGGTCTTCGTCAGGAATGATCGAGGTTATGCCTGATTTTCGGCGGAAAGGCAATTCATCTGGATATTAATACGAARATATTAAATTATCGTACCGATCGTGATTATGTGTGTGCTCAATATTACTTGCTTATTTAATATATGTTGATCAAAAAGTAATTTGAAATATATAGCATTACTTATTTTTATAAGTTATTTATATCTGTACCTATGTAATATATTATATTTAAGCGAACCACTATAATAGTATAATAATTGATAATTTCAAATGCATTGAAATATAAGTATTGACGTATTGTAAATATTTATAATCACAATGAATGGTTCTTTTCTATATTATAGGTCTTTGCTTTGTACTACAGCATCGTGTTTGTGTAAATGTGTAGCCCTTTCCATAATTTTTTTTTTGTACCAACGATTTAACAACTGATAAGCTAGTGTATTTTTTAAGAAATAAATTATTCTAGAAATCTAAAATTGGTTTCATTATTAGTTGAATAAGCATCAAACCTTCTACTATGTATATATAAGCGTTTAAAAATATGGTCCTTTGATATCCTTGAGATTCCAAAAATTATTATTTTAATAAATTTATTTTTAAAGAGAACATGGGGTGTTAGTCGCTTTGTGAATGTTAGAAAATAATAATAATATAACCATGATATGTAAGTATTCATAAAAAATGACAATAATATGTAAACACTTAAATTTTCTCGAAAGCCAACAATATAAGTAAAATAAAAATATATTAGGTAGGTATCTAAATAAAAATATTATTCTACTTGTATTATGAATAGCTGTGGGTAAATTACTATCAGTA